GACTGTGTGCGCGTAAATGTGTTGCCCATCGTGGACATATTTATTCGCGTTATTGTGAATGGATCTGATTATATGTATATTTGTTCGAATGATTGGTTTTCTCGGCAATGGTTGAGTATTTAATCTCCGAAATGTGTTGTATCGCGTTGAAATTAGGAACGTGTTGCCAACAGACACGAAATGGTCCTTGAGGTCGTGTTTTGATGTTTCGTGATTAGATCGCTTAATATTCTAGGATCGACTCATGTATTGAAACTGTATGTTTTGAAATTTCTATCGGATTTACGAAAGGATTTATTAAGTTTTGAGATGTTCAAATTTCTATCCGAGTGTCCGACAGTATTTATTGAATTGGATGAAGTTGACTGCGCAGAATAGATCGCGAAATATGTTCGTAGTAATTTAGTATAACATTGATTAGAAATGAAAATGTTACAATTTTTGGCGCGTTTGACCGTATCAATTTTTTTATGTGAATCACCTCGTTGTTTTAGTTGCGATCTTATTGGATCTGCTATTTACTCACGAAATTGTTTGAATTTAGAAGTATTGTACACGCGTGGTCGCGTCAGAAGTTTGACGCACGAAATAAAGACCGATTTTGTTATTGTTGACCCAAAAAGCAATACTGTTATTTTTGTTGGAACTTGTCCTTGTTTCGAAGATCCCTGCTGCCTCCGGGAGCTGGGTTAGTCGCTGAAAGTCGACTTGGTCAAAATTTAAATTGATATGAAATTCATGTGGGAGTTCGAGTCTCCTACGGTTTTCTCGCGAGAACCTGGCGCTCAACAGCATAGTTCTTAGTTCGAAGTTAGAATAGGTTAGCCCTGGGTTGCCGAGGATGCGAAGGAATCGCGTAAGCTATGCGCCGGTCAGTCTCACATCTCCCGGCGAGGCCAGATCGCGTAAAAATACGTCACAAAGCGTACAAATAGCTTATAGTATGGAATTTAATAACTTGAAAGACGGGGGATATGACATAGATCGCTTTCTACAAATAGGTTATATGATAAGTGCTATTTAAGAATTTTCATAGGAGTGTACACTGAGCGTCATTAATGGTGTCCAGCTTGTAGACGCAGTGCAATGAGATAAGAGAGAAGAGTTGGCGGCGCCCGCTCAGGTATCTTGTCCTGCGCGCAACGCAGCGAGCACTATGATGCGAGCGAGACGCCAAATCGAGTGCTCTCTGCGTTACACGTAGAGGCCAAGCAAGATAAGTGAGCAGGCGCCGTCCACTCTCCTCTCTTACCTCGTTGTATTACGTCTACAAGCTGGACAGCATTAATGACGCTCAGTGTACATAGAAATATAATTTAGTCAGAATTTCATTCAGCTGACAGCAAATTCTATTTGTAGCGGTCATGATACACAGAACTGAATATGTTTTATTTGATTAACGTTGGAAAGGCTCCTTCTTAACTTCTAGTATAAAGAATATAATTAAGATAATATGTCCTTACCTGCGTTATATTTGAGCAAATTTAGACTTTTTATGTGACACGGGTAACTCTAAATGATGCAATATCAATGGTTAAAATATTGCAGGAAAGCTATTTTGCGGTCGTCTCCGTATGTGCATCAATTATGTTAATTAGGCAGTTTAAAATTTACAAATATACAACAGGTTACAAATCGATGCACAACAAAGTACAGAATAAGCGGCAATACATAGGAAATTGAATCGCACGCATAATATACATTGTTTATGTATTGTAACTATATATGGTAAACATTTCTGTTTTGTTGTTTGCCGATAGAATGTACTTTTTTAATTGATACCTTAACCTTTTTTTAAAATTCTGTAGAGAAGCCATTCTGTAGAGAAATATACATATAACCGAACGAAATACTTGAGTTCACTTGTTGTGTCTGCCTTCATGCAAGCAGAGGATGAAACGTCAGTTACTGAACTTCTTATCACTGGAGTCAGAAGTGCCTTTCAAAATGTCTTAATTTCTCCTTCGGTTGAGTATTCCGTGAAACGGTAAAATTAGAGCTACTTCTCAGATTGCGATATTCTTTCGTTAACTCAGCTAAACTTCCTGTTCAAACTCTCGACATAATTCCGTATGAAATTTTGTATCCAGTTAATAATACGAATATGAAAGCCGATAGAAAATAACGTGAAATTCGCGCGATAAAGTTTCTTTGCAAATTAAAGAGAATCTGTAAAGAAAATTATAAAATTATTCAGATTTCCTCAATTCAAACTTCGGAGTTTGCGGATTGAGATTACAGATAAGCAAGTATTTACATAACTTGTTGATTTTCGATAAATTATACGATTTTTATAGAAATCCAGCAGTGCTAAATTTTGTTTGTATTGCTAATGTCTCATTTTTTTTTATAATTTGGCATACGCTCTTGCCTATCTGGGGTCTGTCAGACCCTGCGCTGTTTATAGATTGTTATTTTAGCTCTGATTATCGAATTTTGATTGTGTTTACTTAATCAGTACGCAAGGATATAACAAATAAAAATATAAATATGTAAATTTTAGTATAAATAAATATTCTCGAAAATGTGAACCGTAAAAACCAGCGATGAATAAAACAACGTTGAATTATTTTCTATGACAGAAGATTGAAAATTCCTGTATTTTTATTTATTTTTTATGTTACGTTGCAATAGGGAGATTTGGCAGAGGAGTATTGTGCTTTGGATTTAGTACAACGCGTGAGAGCAACAGTGTCCAGTGGTAAGGTTTTAGAGGACCACTGTTGTATAATAATTACATTAAACAAGATATTTGTATTTTTATTATATTTCTATACGAATTACATCAACGTCGCCGCGAGCCGTTTCATTTTCGAATTGTTGCTATCTTCGGGAACTACCTTACTGATATCCAAGGAATCTGCCTTACCGACTGCTTGAACGTTATCCCACATCTTAGAACTGTCCTCTTCCAAATATACGTTGTCGACAGCCAACAAGAAGTTCGCCAGCCATTCTGCCTGCCTGGAGCAGGTCCACCTATCCCTACTGCTCTACGAGTGTCAACTATCTTTAGCACCAGTTTCTTTAGAGACAGTTACGGCCACAGTCGAGTTTTGTGCCACAAAATGTCTTGACGTGACGGCACTAGCATTAGCCGCATCATGTCTGTCGAACTTAATAGGGCTGCTTCCCCCTGGAAAACTAACAGATTATCATTACGACTACTTTTATAATGAAACCAGAGAGTGTGCACTAAACATAAAGTGTCCGACTGCCTACCTTTGAGCAAACTATTGTTTTCTATCTATTTTTCATTAGTGGATTGTGCTGCGAGAATCTATAATAATTGTCTATTGTTTCACAGTAAACAGAGTTCCTGTGAAAGATACTATGACGTATTCGGTACATCAACGTAGTTTACAAATGATTCGTGGCTGCTCACAACGTGTTAAAATTTAAAAAAGATCTGAAAACAACGGCCGTTTTACAAATTTCCCGGTGGTTCAGCTTCAGCGCACGGAAAATGTTAGACGGGAACATTGGAGCAACAAGAGAGAATTTCGGAGTCAGTGGATAGGCGCGCAAAATGACTAAACAACGAGAAGGAAACCGTTTCGTTTATTATTGCTAAATAAACAGAAGATTATACAAATCCCGTCGCGTACAGTGTGTTCCTCAATGGCGGCTCACGACTATTCACAGTCGTGATGGGTAGCCTGCCTGAGACCTGTTCCTATTTCGGTGTGCCTACCGAATCTGTGAATCCCCTCGCGGCGCGATTCGTGATCCTAACAGGTTTCGTTGGAGACGAGCTTCCCCTTCGTAGGGGGTGTGCGCTCTGACGTCAGTAGCCATCCTAGGGATCCGTGTGTCCGCATCACTCCCGTTCAGCTATCTTGGCACGCATAATATTCTCAAATTAAGACTGTTTTCGTGGGACTTACCGAAAACTGACTGTCCCATAAAGCCGTTAAAAAATCCAAATAGTAGCGGCCGTGTCCCTTCTGCCTATTTCCATGGTATCGCGTTCCAGCTCCACGGAGGTGTTCATTGGACACTCGGTGGTCCACACACTCGGCCACGCACTTGCACTATATTGATAATAATAAAAAACGGGAGCCATGGTTCTCTACGCGATTATCCGATATAGTTCGGCTATCGTCCGAGCACAGAAGAAGATGTCTTTTTCTCACGGTCTGCCGAATACCCGAGTCCTCACCCAGAGACTCTCCGCGACACACTGTCTTCACCCCCTACCGCTCTCCACGGTAGGTCAAAACCAAAACAATCCTCCTCTCCAGCACCTTCCCCGCGGAGCCGCAAACCGTAGCCGGTTAAAGTTGCTGGAGTACCGATAGTGAGTCCCAGCGGTTGGGCACACCTCACGTGCGGGCTCTCAATCCAAAAGGGGCCCGTACCTCCACCGCCGGTAAACTATTTTACCCCGTTTCTTCTCGAACCCGGGACTTACGAGATCTTTAGAAATGGAGGCTGGAGGCACCGCCGTGCCGCCGGCAGTGCGCGGAGGTGCGGGGCTTTTGTAATGTGTCGTCCTGACACCACGTTACAATACATACTCTACTTGGCACCGACAGGTCCTGGATCACTTTCTTTGGTCGGGAGACATCTTCGGCACTGAACGCAGAAACTAATCGTTATATAGTCGGGTATTTTATTCCAGGTAAATTTTTTGGTTTCCTTAATCAACCTGTGATTTATCCTTTAACAAGATCTCTTCATGTGACCCAGGTTGTGATTCTGTTTGATGTATAACCGAAGATTGTTATTTCCGTAGAGTGTGCTAATTTATCTCATGCCTCTGGCCCTTCAGCATAAAAGACCTCCTCCTGAACACTTTTGTTGCCGTGATTCATTATACAAAGTCTATTAGCTACCTTATCTCGTTTCTTGTTTTCTATATTTATGAAGGTTCTCTCAATTTTAGTCACGATGAAAAGCAATGCATTTTATTAGTTTGACTTTAGAACTTCACAATATCTTTCTCCTGCAAGCGTGAGTACCTTGAAGATGTATTTCCTGGATCGAGCACTCCTTTGCGGTTACCCAGATGTCCTAGGAGCTGCACTTCTGCGAGTAATTATTCAACCATGTAAATGTGAGTATTTTAGTTTCGATTACAGCTGCATTTTACTGCCTTCTATTTGGCATGAGTCTTATTTCCCGAAATTTATTGATTTTCTTGGTTACCTAAGGGCATTGGGGAAAATGAAAGGTTTTAGATACCTGTCATTCTGCCTGTAGGTTGCTATCTTTTATGAAACGATCATCCGTCTGAACTCTTCATATTTACCTAACAGTATATGCGTCGCTATTTTTTATCATAGCTTACCTTAAATGCCCTATATTTGCTACTTTTGCTTCCACGATATCGACGGTTGCGTATCGCTTTATCACCTTTTGATTTTGTATCGAAGATTGCAAGGTTCAATACATTTTCTTGCGCTTGCTGCTCTCTGTTAAGTTTTAGTGACTCTATTGCTCAAACATCCGCGATGACCATCTGGACCAGCTGTAAATTTTTGGAATTCACGTCTTGCTACCTTTTCGAGGAATCATTGCGAATTTCTTTCGTCTCACCATTGACTGCCTGGAGTCCAACGGTTATTTCGAAGAGTCTTGTTATTTTCTGCATTTTATTGAAACTCATACTGATTCACGCACATTGGACGGAGGTGATGGTTCCCTGATATACTTTACTATTCTTTAAATCACTGAATAATACATATCATGGCTGTGGAATCTTTTTTCTTAAAGAATTTAATCGTCGCACGGATGTCCTAGATTCACGCACAAATATTTTAACCCTCTATGGGTCGAATTTTTGTTTTAACTCCAAACAAATTGTGGGAACGAAAAATCAGAAATTATAAACCTATATATACAAATGAAAACAAATTTTTGCGATTAAACAATTGTATTGCGATATATTCACTATGTGACTTTCAAGTCACACCGGCCTATAAAGTTGAAAATTTGAAAAAAAAATTGAAAATTGAAATGCAAACGAATAGGTTGCTATTGATATACTAACCCAGAGTTATTATGTCTACTATTTTTAGTTTGGTAATCACTGACAAAAGCACAAATAAGATCAATTGGATGAAATGGTTTCGCGTAGTTTTACTGCCGACAGTTTGCACAGCATTTATTTTGTTATTTCAGGTTGATGAGCCTAGCAATGGTCATGAATACTAGTATTGGTTGTGTTGGCAACGTCATAGAGTTAAGATTTGTGCGCCATCTCATGAAAAAAAAACTATAATTATTTTGTAAAATGTCGATAAATTAAAATGTGAACTGAAAGTTACACGGACCCATAGAGGGTTAAGTTTGTCACTTATAACCTTGGACGTTTGCTGTTGTTTTTGTGGTTGCACCACTTATTTTTTACCATACTCGTGCTGTTTGGACCTTACTAACGAAGAGGGATGGCTTAGTTCTTGAAGACCAGAGATTATGAATTAGACATAAGATTTCATATTGATGTGGATAAGAAAGAAATGTTTTCTGAATTTCGAAAATTAACTCTAGAATGACTATGCAGAGTGTAGGAGACTCTATGGATTTGTGTATATTTCACATTTGTTTGAAGTACCTCTTTTACTACGACTTATAACGTCGAAAATATTTATCGAAACTCTCTTTTTCTTTCCATATATTTCCTTGTTTTTCACACTCTGGCATATTAATATAAAAAACAAAAACAGTTAACCTCCAATAACTACAGTCAAAATGTTATCGATAAAACGACGCAGAGTCTGTCAGACTCTTGATAGGCATCGACATATACAAATAATATGATAGGCATTCTAGCATTAACAATAACTATCGACCTATTCATAAGTTCCAAAGTCTAACCTCCTATGCAGTGTTGTTCTCCACAGCATAAGAGTAAAATAACGCAATAAAAGAAAATTAGCAATAATAGAAACAAAGAATTAGCTAAACCTAATAAAGAAACGCTAATTCAAAGGTAATAATCTCACAAGATTGTCCAATTACTAAATTTCACCAAAGCAAGAGAAAAAGTTCAAAACATTCTACGCAGGAAATCCGCCGTAAAAATTAAAATAGTAAAACCGCCAGATATGATCCAGTTCCAGATCTGCTACGTGACAAAGTCTAAATACTGTTACATGTATCCCCGCTTATCTACGAATCCCAGTTTATCTACAAATATTCTATCGGCTTCCGAACGTGCTGAAATGAAAAGTAAATGACTGCCAGGTATGGGTTTTCCATATCAGTGATACTCCTCCCCGTCTCGATATCCTGGTGCCAGCTGTTCAGCCACAGCAAACTGACGGAGTTAAAGGGAAATGTAGGGTCCATATTCGAATCCGTATATATTCATAAGGTTCTATGAGTCACAAAAAGAAAAAACCTTTCGTCTTCCTGGAACAAAGTATCGATTAGTCACAATGCCGATGTACGACACGCGAGCCGTTCCTCTCTGCGTTAATTTTCAGCTCGGAAACTGATCAATCCTGCTATATGAAAAAGAAGACGGACCAAATAGAACCGTTACCACGCTATATTTACGTATCCGAGTGTCTTGGCCTTCTGGCAAATAGGTTTATGTTCAGCAGGATGTTGTAAAAGGTCTTGTCTACGTATCGGAAAAAAACCACTCAGGTATCTCCCATCGTTCTCCACCACTTCATCATCTTCATTGAAAGTCCACAGACATCAACCACACTCGTCACTTTTAGGTTTCTATCCCTCTTACCAACTACCCAAATTCCGAACATTCATGCCCGATGTTAGTCCCTTCATGCTACAAGAGAGATTGATTTCGATTCGCCGAAATCATTTGAAGCGATTTCCGATTCTCGGTTCACATGCCTCGTCAGCTTGTCTCGTAGACGACGTTTACTTGAACGATGACGCGTGAACTAGATATAGACGCACTAGTCTGTGAGTAGGATAAATAGTTGTTTCCAAAATGAGGCCTGCATGAGGGTGAATCGTACTGCGTTCCTACATGTGCGCCATTTCCAAGGACAAGGGCTTGAAGCGAGGAAAGTCGCACTCAAAAATCACAGCATCGAAAACACTCTCGTTAAATGTATTCGATTCAATTAAAACCTTCCGATGAAATTTCGAATTTTGTAGAGCGCGATTATTCTGTCATTCTCTAGAAAATTATTTAAGTAAAAGTCAATATTAACACTCACAGTTTGTTGGCGGTCATGGTCTTTGCCAATCGTGATGCAACACCTATCACATAGTTTTATGAAATTGTAGACGAATATTGAAAAAAGGACTCGGCAGGGATTGAAAAATATTATCAGAAACACACCATATGACTGCGAACATTTAACATGAACTCGATAGAAACATTTTAGGGTGCCAATAAATCGAGCTGTCACTCAGCGGATTTTCCTCGCTTAGAAATTAAGCCTTCTGCCACAGCGAGCGCTGGTAGTGGTACCCCCAACGTGTGCAGCTGTGGTCATTCATGCTCATTCATCATAACTCATCTTTAATTAGGCGGCGTTATACATAATAATTGTAGGTTTTTATACCATTGTTCTAACTGTTTAGCTCATTGGCTCATAATGTTGAGTCTTGAACAATTAGTGCAGATTCTCAGCTCCAAGGCGAAGAATATAAGCGACATTTTTTTACCTCTGTATGTCTCTGTACAATTGTTCACTGCTGAGGCGCGGGATTCTACAATAGTTTTACGGCTCGCGATAGCGTGCAATAGAATTATTATACGTCACGCGTATTTTCACATTTAGCCACAGTGGTTCCTCTCCTTAAAAGGAGCCTCTATCGCGATTTTTTTCAGCATGTCTCGCATCGTGAAAGTATAAGTTTCAAATGAGTCTTTGGATAACTTCGCGTTTTAATGCATGATAGTAATTTAACCAGTTGCTCTTTAACACTAAACCTACCGACATACTATATATACCTATTTCTACCGATGGATGTCCAATGACCGCTTTTGAAATAAACATTATAGTCTTTTCCAGTTGATTGTAATTAATACAGAATTTAGCATAGTCGTGCAGTAAGTTCAAGAAAAATAAAAACCTGGAATTTAACAATTTTGATTAAACTCTCAAAAGCGGTCATTTGACCGCTCTGGTAGGTTTAGTGTTAAGGATATCCCAACATTGTGATTAGATTTCCCTAGAACCGCACCAATGGAAAATTGAAATAAAATATAATGTCAAGTTAAAGCTCTTTAGGAGATAATGAAGTAGTTTAAGAAAAATTGTAGAGTTACACGCCTTTTAGTTAAAACCTGTGGCGGGGTTAGTCATACAAAAAATTGGAACCATCACTTCACACAAAAAAAAAGTAAAAGAAAATTGAAGAACTTATTAAGAGCTTTAAAGATATTTATCAATCAAATTGGAAGTTCACTCTCCTGAATCCAAAAAATACTTTAATGATAAGAGAATAGGTACATAAAGTTGACTTAAGCATAATGAAGTAAAATAAGTAATATGCAGTGCTGTTTAGTTGTTAATTAATTACACTATATTAAATTTTCTTACTTTAAGTACTAAATTAGAAGTGGGAACTTTGTCACTCTATCTTTAAAGTTACCACAGTTGTACAAAACAAATGTGAATGTCACATATTCGAGGTGGTTCGATTATTCAAGTTCTTTCGAGATATTTGTTTTATGTTTTTGGCAGGTACTTAACGGTCATGCATACAAAATTTCAAAATTATTTACAATTTAGTTTACGAGATATACGGAATGAAAGTAGCCAAAGATGCTCTATATAGTATACGGGGTGCCCGCGGCTCCTCCTCCGCTATAATTAATTCTCCCTCAGGGCAGCCAGAGAGCGCTGAAAGGCTAGGAATTTCTGAAAAATTACGAGTTCTGATCGGGAATCAAACCTGTTACCTTTAGACTGCCAAATCGGGCACTTACTACTGTGTCACCAAACCCACTAACCCACCTGATATGTCCTATTTATTTATTTTATTCCCAGGTGATATCCCCTCCAGCGTTGTAACGCTATGTTACAATAGATATACCTACCTCGCTTGGCAGAATACCAATATATTTGTCGAAATATCTCAGCGTCCAGGCAGTTCTTTTATATAAAATATTATTAGGATGATTTTTAAATAGAAAATCTAGGAAAGTTTAACTTTTTTTTACTGTATTATTTACACAATATATGGTATGAAAATTTGTCAAATTATATATCTCTACCCCTCTGCATGTTTTAAAGATGCATGTTTGTTTGTTTTTGGACAGCCATCGGTAGAAATAGGTATATATAGTATGTCGGTAGGTTTAGTGTTAAAGAGCAACTGGTTGAATTACTATCATGTTTTTCACGTAATAATTTTGTAATGAACTATATACATGGAATTTATACATATTGGAATAATATTATATTATTATGGTGCTAGGTGAACTACCTTAAAAAGTTTTAAAATCCCAAATTATAGTCCGGAATGTAATGCAATAAGATACTGCTTTCTTCTTCTTCTTCTTTTTTCGTCAGAGTATAAGGGCATGGTTTTTTTACTAATGAGGTAATCTCCAAGTCTAACTATTACGTACATATATTTAAAGCTCTTAATTATCCTTTAAATCCTACATTTTCAATCCTCTTTCATATTTTGACAGTGCCTTCTTTCGGTAAAACAAACTTTTTTTATTCTTTGTCAAATACAGCGAAAGTAATAATGTGCCAGAAATATACCTGTCTGAAGACATTAAATATTTTGTGCAGATCAGGTGTTTCTGAATCAACGGGCCCGACAATTTGTGTTTACACAGTTTTCTACTTGGAGTATATTTGACAGCAGGGTAGTGTAAAGAATCTTTTCTTTATTTTAT